CGCGTCTGCGTCTGCCTGCGGGTTCCCGCGGCTCCACCGCGGGCTGGGGGGAGGCTGGGCAGGGAGGTGGCCGCGGGGTGTCAAAAGCGGAGGTCACCACAGACCTCTGCTGCCTGGGTCCAGTGCGAAGGCCGGTCCGGGCAACACAAAGCACAGAGGCTGTAAACAACAGGCGCCTGTAAACATTCCGCGCGGGTGGGTGTGTGTTTAGCCGCTAGTCCGGTCACTGGGGGGGTTTATTAGTAGCAGGGAAACTAATTTAGCTGGACTCGGTGACCTGCTGAGGTCTCTTCTGTGATTCCTCCCTGTCCCAAGGAACAGCCGGGGCAGCTTCTTCATTTCAGGGACAGCGGCTCTTTTCTCACAAGAAACTTTAACATGTCTGATCGCAGGACGGGGAAGAAAAATCTTTCGATCACAGCGTTTGCGAAGGATGGATTATGTAACAAGAACTTTTTTCCCCTTTAAATAAATAGGCAGCGGCAAAGGGGGAATTGATTTCTACTAGTGAAGGAGGAATGCGTATGCAAGTTCAGCTATCGGATTGCACACATCATTTGTAAATTGTCATGTTCAATTATGTGGGGCCTGGGGAACTAGTGATCAACCTTAAAGTCGTCCTCAACAGAAATTGAGTTTGTGCTCTGCCTAATTCTGAGAATAATATGGTGCAGACTGCACTGAACATGCACAAAAAGTCTGAATTAATTTACATTATCATTTTCAAACCCTACTCATTATCTCAGAGAAAGAAATAATTACACCATGTTTATAATGCAGAGCTTTGCATTTCATAATGTGGCACACCACATCAATTTTGTTTATAGGAACACAAATAAGCTCACTGTCGTCATCTCTACAATTAAGTACAGCTTTGTCAATATTTGTAAAATACTAGTCGTGCTTTTAAAAATTATTCTTTAACATTCTAAAGTAAATTAAAAACGTCATTTTGTTTGCCAGTAGTAAATATTGACTCATCAGAATAAGGTAGCATTGAAGATCCGACTATAACAAGGATACTCTTTAAGGACCTGTGGGGACTACTCATCTAGTAAAGTTAAGCACATTTGTAAGTATTTGTAAAGCTGGAGCCTAACTTAATTAACGGAGAACAGTAGTGGAAAAATGAAATCTTAATATTATTGTACCTAATTTTTTTAAGTTTACCAAGAACCAAGTAGTAGTTAAAAATAGGGATGTTAGATAGCAAGTAATTGAATAGTTGAGTAACTGTATGAAATCTTATCAGTTACATGACTGTTCAGTAGTCCCTGGAGCAGGGGCAGCAGCCCATGTTCTCCTGACCCACTCCTGGAGAGCCCCCTGCCACTCCGTGCTGCTGCCTCTGATACAGAGGCAGCAGCGCAGGGTATCAGAAGCCCCTGTCTGTGCGGGTCCGAGCTCCCTTTGGACAGAGGCTGCTGCAGAGGTGGGGGAGGCTGCCTGGACGCCATATGGGGTCTGAGTTTCCATGGACAAAGACCATTCTGCCTTCATGGAGCAGCCTCTGTCCGTGGGGCGCCTGCTCCAGAATCTGTCCGCAGGGAGCAGGGACCACCCCGTGGACAGGGGCTGGTGCCAGGAAGAAGCCTTTGCCTGCAGCAGGCCCAGGCTCACTGCGGACAGAGCCTGCTTCACAGCAGCCTCCTCTTCTATGGGGTCTGAGTTTCCATGGACAAAGACCATTCTGCCTTCATGGAGCAGCCTCTGTCCGTGGGGCGCCTGCTCCAGAATCTGTCCGCAGGGAGCAGGGACCACCCCGTGGACAGGGGCTGGTGCCAGGAAGAAGCCTTTGCCTGCAGCAGGCCCAGGCTCACTGCGGACAGAGCCTGCTTCACAGCAGCCTCCTCTTCTCCCTCCACCCCACTGCCTCTGATGGAGACAGCAGCAGGGAGCAGGCAGCAACACGGAGTTGGTGTTGTGGGGAACCAGTTTTTAAGCCAGCTCCCCCCAGCACAGGCTCCTGATTCCCCCCTCCTTACTGCCTCTAGCAGAGCTGGCAAGGGGGGAGAAATGCGAGTAGTCAACAAGATTAACGGAGAAGCCTAGGCTTCTCAGTTAACTGTATAGTCAACTACTCGTTGGCATCCCTAGTTTAAAAACACACATTTTATTCAGAACAATTATTGCAACCAATATTTTAATCTTCTTTTAAAGTCAATATTCTTAAATTACATGGATTTAAAAAAAAACCCTCAGCCAGACAGGACACTAAATGAACACATGGACAAGAGTAAAATGAATTGCCTGGGCAAGAACCTAGAACTTTATTTGAACTAGGGATGCAAAATCCTGTTTAGTCAGTTAACCAGTTAAACACCATGGGTGTGTCTAGACTAATATTTCATCAGGCACAAAGGATCTGATGACAAAAGGTTCTGGGGTCGGCTGATCCCCATCTAGACTACCGCGCTGTGCCGACAATCAGCTGATCGGCACAGCGTGGTGGCCATCTTGATGTAAATGAAGTGGCGATTATTTAAATCGCCGCTTCATTTTGCTTTGTCTAGTAAACTCATCTACATGGCTCCATCGACGGAGCCATGTCGTCTAGACACACCCTGGGCTCGTCTACACTGGCCCCTTTTCCGGAAGGGGCATGTTAATTTCAGCCATCGTAGTAGGGAAATGCGCGGGGGATTTAAATATCCCCCGCGGCATTTAAATAAAAATGTC